TGGGGATCGAATCCACAACCCGGGCATGTGCCCTCGCAGGGAATTGAACCCTGACCTTCTTCTGGTCAATAGGTCAATGCTCAACCACTGAGCCACGCTGGCGGGGCGCAACTAAACTCTCTTTAGTGGTTAGTCTGGAAACAATTCTTCCCCCTTGTCCTCAGCAGAAAGGGCTGAAAGAAGTCTAAGGCTTTATGTGATCAGATTCTCAATCAAAACGGAAGTATGTTGAAATGGAGTAAGTCAAGGGTCTGCAAACCTAGTCTGTGAATATTCAGTCAATATGGTAGGCTTTATGGCCCATACGGTCTCTGGTGCGACTGTCCACTTGGCTGCGGTAGCTCAAGGCAGCCCGAGACAAGGTGCAAGCAATTAAGTCCAGTTGTATCCAATCAACTTTATTTTGTAGACTGAGCTTTGGATTTCAGGTAATTTTCAAGGGTCCCAAATAGTTATTTTGGCTTGACGTGTTTTCGACCATTACAGAAATATAAAAACCAATCCTAGTTTGGGAGCCACACAAAAACAGACAGGAGGCCACGGTTTGCTGATCCCAGAAACAGTTGGAGCTATGGGTTCTAACTCAACCTGAGCTTTAGTTCATGGCACAAGGGTTGTCAGTAGCCGCTTTGGAAGTGTGTGGATTAGTCGATTAGGTTTGCTGGAAGCAAATTTTCCAGTGCTTCTATTCTCTAAAGCTCAGAAAAGCATTAGAGACACAGCTCAGTTAAGTCAGTATCACCCTCTCAAAATTGTGGTTTGTTATACTAGGTATAACAAACCACAATTTTGAGTACTTCTCTGGACATTTCTGGGTGCAAATTGGGAGCAAACATCATATGCAATGAACAGATGGGAAAGATTACAGCCAGCTTTTTCTGGTGGAGGAGAATAAATTCACTTTAAATGTCTAGGGCGGTTGCAGGTGAGTATGTAAGGGAGTTGGATTGCATCTTCCTGCTCTCCAGTAGGTGGTACTGCTTAGAGAGCCTCCCAGCCCTGGAATGTGCTGAGGAGGAGAATGGAAGCGTGAGTCAGAGGACCATTTCGTCGGGATGCTGGACAGGGCACTGGAGCGTTTGTTGGTTGGTGCAACTGCCGTTTAAGGGCCCTTAAGAGAGCTTGGTTTCTATGGCTTGGGCAAAGAATTTAAAACTTACTTTGGTTATCTAGATAAGAAGCAAAACACAGCTCAGAGTGTTTGGGGTTGGCCTGGTCCAAAGATGATTGCAGAATAAAACCAGTGAGAGCATGCCATCTGTGAATAGTTCCTCCTACTTGAAGGAGGGAGGAGATAATTAGAACTGGGCTTGTATCGCCAAAGCCTGTGAGCAATATGACATCAAAACCTATTCAAGAAGCATGCAGTGTGGTATCACAGAAACTGGCAAGGGCATCAGCAGCCCAGGTCTCTCACCTTGGCATTGCCACTTTGGAAGCTCACTTAATTTTTGGACTTTCTCGTGCTGTTTGGCAGGTGGGAATACTACTTGCCCAATTATGTGGAGGCCCTGATATGTTACGAAGACGGGAGGGCTGTATACATTTGAGGCAATCAGACTGGGCAGTCCTCATCGGTTCTCGAAAACTTCAGAGCTTCTGAAGCTGAGACGACACCCTTTCTTTCTACCTGCCCCTCCTGCCCCACCTGTACACACGGCAGAGGAGCAGGTTCTGCTCCATCTGGGTTAGTCCCATTTTTCTCGTCTGCATTTCAGCCTTTCGGAATCTCACACCTCCCACAAAAGTGGTGGTAGTTGCAGAAGCGCCTGGGTCTTTTTCTAAGCTACACAGAAGCCTTGGGGAATTCTTAGCACTTATTTTTGGCGGTATATGTCAAAGTATACATCGAACTTCCCACTTTGAAATATGCTGGCTATTTGAACATGCGTGTGCTGTCTTCGTGAAAGCAGTAGGCAGATGACAATGAGATGTTTAACTAGTAACCCGCTGTTTGTCCTTCTCTGAAATTGCTCTCCTAGCTTAATGAATTCCTTGAGGCATACACATCGCTGGATAGGTGTTTTCCCCCATAATGGGTACAGAGCGAACTTTTGTGACCTAAGAAGTGAACAGATGAGCTGCCCATTTGTAGCCCCTAAGAAGGGTAACAGAACTTTGGCTCCCGCGTATTCAAAATGAAACTGAAGGCACTCGGGATGCTTTATGTACACATGTTCACCCCACCTTCCGATAATGTTCAGCACAAACCAGCAGCACCCATAACATGCAAGGCCTGTGCTCTGTGCTTCGGGGGCTGCAGACATAAAGAGACTGCAGAACACCACGCAAGGGAAAGAAGTGCTAGGAGAGGTTCCAATTCAGTGGCTGACAATGTTGCGTTTGCTATGTGCCAGGTACTGTTGTTTCTCTGTAAGAGACTACGAATGGGAAAGGAAGCATTTAGGCAATGGGAGAGAGAGTCATGGCCACACACACACACACACACACACACACACTATAAAGAGCCCTGGCCAGTGCTGCCAAATGGTTACAGCGTTTGGCCCTGGGCACCAAGGGTCTTGGGTTCGATTCCCAGTCAAGGGCACATACCTGGGTTGCAGGTTTGATCCCAGATCCTCAGCCTGGTAGTAGGAGGTAACCAATTAATCTCTCTCTCTCTCTTCACCCTCTCCCTCCCTTCCACTCTTTCTAAAAAATTAATGGAAAAAATACCCTCTGGTGAGGATTAAAAAAACAACATGAAGAAAGGAGAGGTATACAAACTAATACAAATAAGAAAAGTAAGTATTTAATAAACTTTGTGTACATCTTTAAGCAGGCCATCTTATTTAGGCTGATCTTTGGGGATAACTTTTTTTTTAAAGCAGAAAACCTTGGGTTAATAGCAAACATAAAATTCCATGTAAATAAAATGTTAGGGATAACCATGTCTATTTAAATAGACCCTTTAGTTTAACCCATCTCCAATGTGTAATCAAACAGTATTGGACTCCTTTGTATCCAAAACGTATGTACTGCAAATTCCTCCTCTCTGCTTCACACAACCGAAACAACGCCAGCGAGTTCGCGCTTTCCCCACGGGTTCTCTCCCATTTGCCTCAACACCAGAGAGATGGCAAGACGCCCCCCTGGCTCCGGGCTTCCCCTCCTCCCGGAGAGAACGCTCCTGGGGCAGGTGGAATCGGACCTGGGAAAGGGCGGGCCGGGACCCGCCGACAGATCGCGATCAGACGCGCTTTCGCAGGAGTGGCGCACGGGGCGAGCCTGCCAGCCACTCGGTGTCCCTACTCCCTGCTCCCGCTCCGCCCTGGTGCGGCCGCGCTGACTCACCAGCGGCTCCCGGCTCCTTTCTGCTGGGCTTCCCCCCCCCCCCCCCCCCCCCCCGCTGCCGGCTCCACGTGACTCAGCACAGGCACCAAAGTTTCTACCCGTCGCCGTAACCACCGCGCAGCAGGCGGGCCCTGGCAGTGAACTTCGATCTTCCCGCTAAGAACGACCCCAGATTGCGACCCCAGACTGCGACCCCAGACTGCGGCAGGGGTCACCGCGGCCGAGTGGACGGACCACGGCCTCCCACCCTAGGGCGTTCTTCGGCGGCGCCCCAGTTTCTGCGTTTTGACCCCCACCCACCCGCCCACCTAGTGAAGCTGGCATCTCGTCTCGCGTCGCCTGCAAGTGCTGGCCACGGGTCCCCCCTTTGCATCAGTGGTTCTCGGACGCGGCTGCACCGTGGCGGCCAGGAGTCCCCCGGAGGTTACAGGTTACGAGGAAACCCCGGGCTCTCACCTCCGACAGTCGGACTTACAGGGACGCGGCTGGGAGCCGGGCGTCGGGGTTCCTCCCAGCTCCCAGGTGGCTCCAAGCGCAGCAACGTTTAGGAGCCTTGGCTCTGGGAGGAGCATCGATCTCCCCCCCCCCACGCGAGAGAAACCGACCCGTTGAGCGGCACCACGGGGTGGGCTCCCAGACTTCCCACGGTGCAGATCCCGACCCTGCAGTCCTCATAGCTCCGCAGAAAAGACGCCAGCAAAGCCAGGGGGCGTTTCCAGCGGGACACTGGCTACACCGGGCCCCGGGCCCCTGGGCGCCCTGCGCGCCCCTGGCTGGCGGCAAACCCAGCTCCACCGAGCTCCCGAGAGCAGCCCGCCGCGGCCGCTGTTCTTCCGTTACCTTTGGGTCTCTGTTCTGTTTCATTCCCACGTGTCGGGGGGCCCGGTCGGAAGCCCGAGGTCCTCTCAGGTTAGAAGCTCGAGCTGCGTCCACACCTCCCCCCGGACGGACGGACGGACGGGACTGCACGCTCCGCGCGGCCTCGGGGCAGATACTGTGCTGATCACGGAAGTTCCGCGGCGCCCGTGGGCGTGGGCGGGCGGCGGGCGGTTCGCGCGCCTCACCCCTGGCTGAACGAGACCGCACAGTAGGAAAGGCAGTGACCTCCCCTGGCCTGCGGGTCTGGACCACGTTCCTTTTTGAAAAGAAGAGAACGTGAGCGCGGGATGGAGAAACGCACGCGGGGCAGACAGTGCGCGGGCTGGTGCGGAAGGAAGGGGCAATGTTCGGAATATCAATCACTCCACGCGCCGCTGACCGGCGAGGGCTGGGGGGGGGGGGGGCTGGAGGAGGGGGACAAAGGCTCCTCCCGAGCAGACGGCGCAGCGCCCCTCCCTCGAGGTTACAGCTCTGCCCTCGGGCCGGCTCTGGGCGCGGGACTGGCAGAGGGACTCGGGGTTCGGCAGTCTGCACGCCCGAGCGCTTCGGGTGCAGAGGGGGCGTCTTTCTGCGCCCGCCTCTCCCCGGACCCTCCGTGGGGTTCCTGGCCCTGGCACAGCCCCTCTGGGTGGGGTAGGGGTGAAGGATGTCCTACGGAAGCAGAGTGGGGATCGCGGAGCACCCTCGCGGGGTGCTTTCTGCAGAAGAACCACTTGGGCTCAGAACTCTCCTCCCATCACAGCTCCAGCCCCGGGCGCCGGGGGCAGAGTCCAGGGGGGAGTTGGGGGGCTGGTCCGCCGGAGGGAAGCGCGGGGTGGGCGTCCGGGGTTGCTCCCCGCCGGGGGCGCCCGCGCGCGGCACTTCCTGGTCTGCCCCGCAGCCTCCGCCAGCGCCCCTGGCTCCCAGCCCTGCGCCCCAACTCTGGCGCCTCTATGTCGGTGCGCGCCCGCACCCCTCTCCTTCCCAGCGCCCAGGGTCCCTGTCCCGGGCAGCCTCGCCCTCACCCCGAGCCAGTCCACTCTGCCAGCGTGGCAGCCCGACTCCCCCCCTTTCCCGGGGGGTGCGGCGCCGGGGCCCCGGGTGAGGCGGCCGCGGGAACGCGAGGGGGGCATCCCCGAGGCGCGGGCCGACCCTGCGCAAGTTCTCTCCCGGCTCGGAGACCCCCGGTGGGTCCCGCGGGCTCAGCCGGCGGCACTGCAGTCCCCGGGCGGCGGGAGCCGGCGAGGCCAGCGCCAGGCCTGGGAGGGACCGCGCCGGGGCCGGGGTGCGGGGGTGCGCGGGGCGGTACCGCTTTAAATGCACTTGACTCACCTGCTCCGGCGCGTCCCTGCTCCCCGCTGACAGCTGGGGGCTTTGTTTTCTCCTCCCACCGGCGGCCCCGCCCCCGCCCCGCCCACGTGACTCGCCGTCCGCCGCCGCCGCTCGGCGGGTCCGCCCCCGGGAGCCCGGCCCGCGCCGCTCCGCCCCTTCCCGGGGGTGCGGGGCGGAGACCCCAGCGGAGAGAGGGACCCGCCTGCGGGCGGTTGGGAGGTGGCACGCTGGTTAGGACCCTAGGGAGCCAGGTGAGTAGTGACTTAAGTGAAGCGCCCGCGGGGAGCGCAGCTGGGCTGCTGGGCCAGGCTCGGTGGAGAAGGGGCTTGGAAAGGCGCCACCCCACCCCACCCCACCCCACGGGAGGTTCCTGGAACTGGGGCTGCACACCCAGCGACCGCGTCTTCTTCCGCCAGGGTTTACACTCGTGCCTGGGAAGAACTGATCGGAGGGGCAAACTGTTTCTGTCAGGAACACTGTTAACCACACCAGGAATTCTGAGCCCAATAACACGATTAGCAAGGAAATGCTTGCAGGTTTTATGGAGGTTTCGAGTCTGCTCGTTGGTGCTGTTGGTATCTGGATTCTGTTCGGAAAATGGGGTGCAGGCTGGATCCGCTAACCCCAGATTATTGATCCGGGCGCGTGTCCACTTGGAACAGCACCGATTCCTGAGTGAAATGAGTGGAGAACATGTCAAGACGCAGCTCAGTACCTGCTGCGTTTGGAAGTGGTCCCACACTCTGCGGATAGCCAGTGCTTGAAGCTGCAGGAACCTGTTGTCTGAATCCCTCCCTTTGCCCTTGGATAACGTACATGATTCCTCCCCACACCGCCCAGATTGCAACTCAGGAGCAAGATGGTCTCCCCTCTCCAGCATCCGGGACAGTGAGGTCTGCACAGTGGGTGACAGCCCAGCGCTCCCCACACCTCAATGTGCAGAGGGGTCACAGGGGGCCTTGTTAACACCAAAGTCTGATTGGTGGGTCTGGGTGGGACCTGAGATTCTGCATGGTACTCCCGGGTAAAGACAGGGCAAATGGCTTGAGGGCCGCACTTTGAGCGGCAAGGCTTAGAGCACCCGGTTTGGCACTGGCCGGAACTATTTTGAGTGCTGCCTGCAGCACTTAATAGCTCCATGACCTTAGGCAAGTTCCTTAACATTTAAGCCTCCCAAGCTGTAAAACGGGGATGTTACCAACACCCACCTCAATCTTGAAAATTAAATGAGAACACCCATCTGAAGTGCCTAGAGTAGTGCCTGGCATGCTTATGTGGGTTTAGGAAATGTTAGTTAATTGTTGGGGTCACCCTGGCAGGAGGAAAGCTGGCACAAATCCCAACATACCAGCAGAGGGAGCGGTGTGTGGGATGGCCTAGGCAGTGGTCAGCAAACTTGCGGCTCGGCAGCTCGCGAGCCACATGCGGCCCTTTGGCCCCTTGAATGTAGCGGTATTTTGTGGAAGACCCACACTCAAGAGGCCAAAGAGCCGCATGTGGCTCGCGAGCCGCAGTTTGCCGACCACGGGCCAGGGTAAAGGCAGCCAGCCCAAGAATGACCACTGCACCCCGGAGTGCCCGGCATGGGCCAGATGTGTAGAATAAGGCTGTGGAATAGTTGAACGGCTGTAACGCAGAGCAAATCATAGATGTTTAAAAGTCCTGTTTCGAGCAAGAACCTTCTTGCTGGGAGGTCAGGGACCTGCACTCGGTCTTGGGGTGATGGAGAGGCAAGGGCTGCTCTGACTGCTCTCAGCCCTGGGGAACTTGACCTCTGCGTCAATGGAGACAACTTTATAAAAAAGGATTAACGCACAGAAAGGTGTTGGGGGAACACATTTCCCAGTGAACTAGGTAGTTTGTGCCACGAGGGAACTTCCAGGAGTGGAAGTGGCTGGGAAAAGCCCTCTGCGTATGAACCGTGAGCACCTCCTGAAGCTGAAGTGCCTCCCTTCTATTTCTCAGCACCGCATGATGGCTATTTCCATTTGGACATTTTTAAAGAGGTTTTTTTTTTTAATGTTATTTTTGTCAACCAGTTCTTCTGTCAGCATAGAGTACTGGATCTGTGAACCTAAGGTAACTTTTAGGTTTAACCAGGAAAATCCCACAAAACAAAGTGCAAAGAAAATGAATCCCATAATATGTTTATTAAAAAAAACCTTTGAAATATTTTTTATTTTTATTTTTATTTTTTTTATTTTTTTTTTTGCTTAAAGTATTACAAAGGGTATTACATATGTGTCCATTTTATCCCCCCGCCCTAGACAGTCCCCTAGCCTCCCCTACCCCCCGATGTCTTATGTCCACTGGTTATGCTTATATGCATGCATACAAGTCCTTTAGTTGATCTCTTACCCCCCTACCTCCTGCCCCGCAACCCTCCCCGGCCTTCCTGCTGCAGTTTGACAATCTGTTTGAGGCAGCTCTGCCTCTGTATCTATTATTGTTCAAAAGTTTATAATGGTCTCTATTATCCATGAATGAGTGAGATCATGTGGTATTTTTCCTTCATTGACTGGCTTATTTCACTTAGCATAATGCTCTCCAGTTCCATCCATGACGTTGCAAATGGTAAGAGTTCCTTCCTTTTTAGAGCAGCATAGTATTCCATCGTGTAGATGTACCACAGTTTTCTAATCCATTCATCTACTGATGGGCACTTAGGCTGTTTCCAGATCTTAGCTATGGTGAATTGTGCTGCTATGAACATAGGGGTGCATATATCCTTTCTGATTGGTGTTTCTGGTTTCTTGGGATATATTCCTAGAAGTGGGATCACAGGGTCAAATGGGAGTTCCATTTTCAGTTTTTTAAGGAAACTCCATACTGTCTTCCATAGTGGCTGCACCAGTCTGCATTCCCACCAGCAGTGCACAAGTGTTCCTTTTTCTCCACATCCTCTCCAGCACTTGTCGTTTGTTGATTTGTTGATGATAGCCAGTCTGACAGGTGTGAGATGGTACCTCATTGTTGTTTTGATTTGCATCTCTCGGATGATTAGTGACTTTGAGCATGTTTTCATATGTCTCTTGGCTTTCTGAATGTCCTCCTTTGAAAGGTGTCTATTTAGGTCCTTTGCCCATTTTTTGATTGGATTGTTTATCTTCCTTTTGTTAAGTTGTATGAGTTCCCTATAAATTTTGGAGATTAGGCCCTTATCAGATATGACATTGGCAAATATGTTTTCCCACACAGTGGGTTTTCTCGTTGTTTTGTTGATGGTTTCTTTTGCTGTGCAGAAGCTTTTTATTTTGATGTAGTCCCATTTGTTCATTTTCTCTTTAGTTTCAAGTGCCCTAGGAGCTGTATCAGTGAAGAAATTGCTTCGGCATATGTCTGAGATTTTGTTGCCTTTGTATTCTTCTAGAATTTTTATGGTTTCCTGTCGTACATTTAAGTCCTTTATCCATTTTGCGTTTATTTTTGTGTATGGTGTAAGTTGGTGGTCTAGTTTCATTTTATTGCATATATCTGTCCAATTTTCCCAACACCATTTATTGAAGAGACTATCTTGGCTCCATTGTATGTTCTTGCCTCCTTTGTCAAATATTAATTGAGCATATTGGTTCGGGCCGATTTCTGGGCTCTCTATTCTATTCCATTGATCTATATGCCTATTCTTGTGCCAGTACCAGGCAGTTTTGAGAACAGTGGCTTTGTAATACATCTTGATATCTGGTATTGAGATCCCACCTACTTTGTTCTTTTTCAGGATTGCTGCAGCTATTCGGGGTCTTTTTTTATTCCAGATGAATTTTTGGAGAGTTCGTTCTAGATCTCTGAAGTATGCCGTTGGTATTTTAATGGGAAGTGCGTTGAATTTATAGATTGCTTTGGGTAGTATGGACATTTTAATGATGTTGATTCTACCAATCCATGAACACGGTATGTTCTTCCATCTGTTTATGTCTTCCTCTATATCTTTTTTCAACGTCCTGTAGTTTTCTGAGTAGAGGTCTTTTACCTCTTTAGTTAAGTTTATTCCTAGGTAGCTTAATTTTTTTGGTGCGATGGTAAACGGGATTGTTTTTATAATCTCTCTTTCTGAAAGTTCACTATTGGTGTATAGAAATGCCTCGGATTTCTTGGGGTTAATTTTGTATCCTGCTACATTGCCAAATTCATGTATTAAGTCCAGTAGCTTTTTGATGGAGTCTCTAGGGTTTTGTATGTATAATATCATGTCGTCTGCAAATAAGGACAGTTTTACTTCCTCTTTTCCAATTTGGATGCCTTTTATTTCTTCTTCTTGCCGAATTGCAATGGCTAACACTTCCAGTACTATGTTGAACAGGAGTGGTGAGAGGGGGCATCCCTGTCTTGTTCCTGTTCTTAGGGGAAATGGTGTTAGTTTTTGTCCATTGAGTATGATGTTGGCTGTGGGCCTGTCATATATGGCTTTTATTATGTTGAGGTATGATCCTTCTACTCCCACCTTGCTGAGAGCTTTTATCAAAAATGGGTGTTGAATTTTGTCAAATGCTTTTTCTGCATCAATTGATATGACCATGTGGTTTTTTTCTTTCAATTTGTTTATGTGATGTATCACGTTTATTGATTTGCGGATATTGTACCATCCTTGCATCCCTGGGATAAATCCTACTTGGTCATGGTGTATGATCTTTCTGATGTACTGCTGGATCCGATTTGCTAAGATTTTGTTGAGGATTTTGGCATCTATGTTCATGAGGGATATTGGCCTGTAATTCTCTTTCATTGTGTTGTCTTTACCTGGTTTTGGTATTAGGGTGATGCTGGCTTCATAGAATGAGCTTGGAAGTGTTCCTTCCTCTTGAATTTTTTGTAGTAGTCTGAGGAGGATAGGTTTTAGTTCTTCCTTGAATGTTTGGTAAAACTCCCCTGTGAAGCCGTCTGGTCCTGGGCTTTTGTTTGCTGGAAGCTTTTTGATGACTGCTTCAATTTCTTCCATAGTTATTGGCCTGTTGAGATTTTTAGATTCTTCCTGATTGAGTTTTGGAATGTTGTATTTTTCTAGGAATTTGTCCATTTCCTCCAGGTTGTCTAGTTTGTTGGAGTAGAGCTGTCCATAGTATTTTTTAACAATCATTTGTATTTCTGTGGGGTCTGTTGTTATTTCGCCTCTATCGTTTCTGATTTTGTTTATTTGGGTCCTCTCTCTTTGCTTCTTGGTGAGTCTGGCTAGAGGTTTGTCAATCTTGTTTATCCTTTCAAAGAACCAGCTCTTGGTTTCATTGATTTTCTGTATTGTTTTTTTGGTCTCTATGTCATTTATTTCTGCTCTAATCTTTATTATCTCCTTCCTTCTGCTCACTCTCGGGTTTTCTTGTTGCTCTCTTTCTAATTCTTTGAGTTGTAGAGTTAGATGATTTACTACCATTTTTTCTTGTTTGTTGAGATAGGCCTGTAGAGCTATAAACTTCCCTCTCAGGACTGCTTTCATTGTGTCCCATAGGTTTTGGATTGTTGTGTTTTCATTGTCATTAGTTTCCAGGATGTTTTTAATTTCTTCTTTGATTTCATTGGTAACCCAATCAATATTTAATAGCATGCTATTCAGCTTCCAGGTGTTTGAGTATTTTGGGTTGTTTTTATTGTAGTTTATTTCTAATATTATGCCATCATGGTCTGCGAAGACGCTTTTTATGATTTCAATTTTCTTGAATTTGGGGATACTTTGCTTGTGACCCAATATATGGTCTATTTTTGAGTATGTCCCATGAGCACTTGAGAAGAACGTATATTCCCTGGCTTTGGGGTGAAGTGTTCTGAAGATGTCTATTAAGTCCATCTGATCTAGTGAGTCATTTAGGATTGCTGTATCTTTGCTGATTGTTTGTCTATAGGACTTATCCAGTGCTGTTAGTGGTGTATTAAAGTCCCCTACTATGATTGTATTGTTGTCGATCTCTCCTTTGATATCTTCCAGGAGTTTTTTTATGAATTTGGGTGCTCCTGCATTGGGTGCATATATGTTTACCAGGGTTATATCTTCTTGTTGTATTGATCCCTTTAGTATTATGAAGTGGCCTTCCTTATCTCTTGTTATGGCCTTCACTTTGAGGTCTATTTTGTCCGATATAAGTATTGCTACCCCAGCTTTCTTTTCCTTTCCATTTGCCTGAAAGATATTTTTCCATCCTTTCACTTTCAGTCTGTGTGAGTCCCTTCTAATGAGGTGGGTTTCTTGTAGACAGCAGATGTATGGGTCATGTTTTTTTATCCATTCAGCCACTCGATGTCTTTTGTTTGGAGCATTTAGTCCGTTTACGTTTAAAGTTATTATTGAAAGGTACTTGTTTGTAGCCATTTCTGTTTTTGTGTGGCTGTTTTCTTTCTGAGCTTTTTATTTCTTATTTTTATACCAGTCCCTTTAGCATTCCTTGCATTGCTGGCTTGGTGGTGATAAACTCCCTTAGCCTTTTTTTGTCTGTGAAGCTTCTTATTTCCCCTTCAAGTTTGAATGATAGCCTTGCTGGATAGAGTATTCTTGGATTTAGTCCTTTGCTTTGCATCACTTTGTAAATTTCCGTCCATTCTTTTCTGGCCTGATGTGTTTCTGTTGAGAAATCATTTGACAATCTAATGGGAGATCCCTTGTATGTAACTTTCCGTCTCTCTCTTGCAGCCTGTAAGATTCTCTCTTTGTCCTGAACATTTGCCATGGTAATTATGATGTGTCTTGGTGTGGGTCTTTTTGGGTTCAACTTGTTTGGGACTCTCTGGGCTTGTGTGACTTTTTTCTTCCCCACCTCAGGGAAGTTTTCTGATATTATTTCTTCTAATAGGTTTTCTAATCCTTGTTCATCCTTCTGTTGTTCTGGTACCCCTATTATTCGTATGTTGTTTCGTTTCATGTTGTCCCAAAGCTCCCTTAGGCTCTCCTCCTGTCTTTTCATTTTTTTCTCCAATTGCAGTACGTTTTGGGTGTGTTTTGCTTCCTTGTCTTCTAAATCACTAATTCGGTCCTCCGCTTCTCCTAGTCTACTGTTGATACTTTCAATGGAGTTTTTCATTGCAGCTATATCACTCTTCATTTCTTCTTGGGTCTTACTTAAGTTGTTGATTTTTTCATCTGTTTCTTCTAGCTTCTTGCAGAGGTTGTCGATTTTTTCCTCCATCCGGTTTATGCACTCTAGGACCCTTATTCTGAATTCTTTTTCTGTCATGTTGCATGCCTCTGTATTACTTAGCTGCTTTTCTGGAGAGTCCTCCTTCTCTTTTCTTTGGGGGTTTCTTTGTCTACCCATGTTTGATCTCGCTGACATATCTAGACGTTGAGTCGTTCAGTGGCTGCTCCCTTGGTGGCAGTGACTCCTTGGTCTGTGGTTGCTCTTCTGGCGGTTGCGGTAGCAGCTGCTCTTCAGTTGGCAGCAGCTCCTCTGGTGGGTGCTGTTCACAGCTGTGGTGGCTCTTCTGGCTGGTGGGGCAAGGTTTCACGTACAGCTGCTGTTCCTCAGCAGAGGGTGTGGTGCTCAGGAGGTTGCTGTTGCTTGGATCTGCTGCGTTGATTTAAAGGCACAAAATACAACACAACAAGGCACCACGTACCAGGCACTATACACAAATATATTCACGATATGAATAACCCCAAATAAAGGTGACCACCTGAATTAAGAGTATTAGGGGATAAGGAAGAAGGAAGAGAAAAAGAGAAAAGAGAAAAAAGAAAAGAAAATTAGGGACCAAAAAAAGGAGTGCAAAAATGAAATTGGGAAAAAGGAGGGGGGAAAATAAAAGCGAGAAAAGAAAAGAAAAGAAAAAAAAAGAGCGAAAAGAGAGAATGAAGTGGAAGAGGGGAAGAGACTTTTTTATATGAGGAGAATACTCCTATAGAACAGCCATTAATCCCAACAACTTCCAGCAACAGCTCCCTGGAGATGAATGCAAACTAGAAACAACCAATAATATAACGATGAAAATAGAATGGAGAACACTAATCCCAAAATAAAATAAACAGAAAATAAAATGGCACTTTAAAAAAAAATGGTAAAACGGTAGCAGTAATAATACTGGTTAAAAATAAGAAGGTAGTAATTAAAAGGGTAAAATCAGGTGATGGAAAAAAGAAGAAGAAAAAAAAAAAAGAAAAAAAAAGCAGAAGAAAAGAAAAAAAAAAGAAAAATTGGTTTCTTAGTTAAAAGGTGAAAAAAGAAAAAAAAAAAATATTGCAGTAGTGAAGGTCCTTCGGTTCTTCTATTCTTCAGTGTGGCTCGCCTTAGACCTGCCAGGTATTCAGGAGAGTGTTGAGTTTCCCTGCGATACACTGTTCCTCTGTGTTGTAAACCACAGTCCTTATTTTAAAGCAAGCCGCATTTGTTTCCCAGACTGCCTTATTTTGTGTTTAGCAAAGAGTCAGTTTGTGGGTCAGCCTCTGGGTGGCAGTGTTCTGGGGTTGGCCTCTGAGGCTATAGGGCCTCTCTGTCCAGTGGAAGTTCACTGCCCAGAGCTAGCTGCGTAAGAGTTACCAGTGCTGTGTTGTTGCTGGGATTTGAAATATTTTTTAAAAAGTTATCCTGTTTCATCTGCAAAACTTTAAATCTTGATAAATGACTTCTGGGACATCGAATTAAAAAATCATTTTGCTCTCTATTATAGATGTCCAGCTGCCTGTCAGATAGGTAATCTATTTTAATATCTGAGAGAGTAAATGGATTGTTAAGGGATAGTACGTTTTTTATCCTCATTAAAAACCTTGAAATCTAAATGAATTTATTAATGAAGACGTGGTATTCTTAGCTCTCAAAACGAATGGTATTGTCACCATTGTTCTCATCTCTCCCTTCCTCCATTCTCCTCTCTTTGTACCTCCCCACCCCATCCCCCCACCCAAGAATGTTTCCTAAGACTCATTTCTTGGCTTTTTATTTTTCTCAGTTTCTGCCATTTCCCTTGGAAATTTATCCACATCTTATGTTTAGTTTTGAAGTGTGTGATTACTTCTGAATCTATACCGACATCCTTAACCTGTTTCCAAGCCCCCGTATCTGCATTACCAATTACTTGCTAGGCATTTCCACTAAATTTCCACTAGCCTAGAAGTCCCAGTGTGCTCTAAATTAAGCTCCTCCCTCCTCCCATAAAACGGATACTTCCTTGGTAATAAATCAAGATGGTTATTTGCTTTGGGCAGCCCTCAGTGCTGTTGCGGGGACTTGGAAAGGACGTGGGATACACAGTATGATTATCCCTGCTGCCTTCCTACTGCTCCCAGATATTGCTGTGAAACTTTGCCTTCCTCAGTGACTGGGGCCAACTCATAAAAACAACTTACTGGCAGAGCACCCACATATGCAGCTGTGGGCTGCTGCATAAATGGTGGTCAGTGTGAACTGAGCTCGTGAGAGTAGGGTAGGCTAGATTATGCCGCTGTAGGAAACACCATCAAAATCTCAGTGGCTTCACACAACAAAAGTTAACTTCCTGCTCACGTCAAATCTCCTGGGCAGCTCTTATGGGGACTCATCATTTTAGCCTGCTTCACTCCTGTGACCTCTCCATGAGCACCATGGCAATGGAAGAGTGTGGAAAACTGCACAGCAAACCTTAAACACTTTCACCTAGAAACGACACAGACCACTTCTCACATTTCACTGGCCAAAGGAAGTCACATGGTCATTACCAAACTTTAAGGGGTATGTACTCAGAAGGAATGGAAAAGTAGAAATCTTAGGGATAAGTAATGACTAACACAGGGGTCCATTTGACATAGAGGGTGAGGGGTAAAGTCAAATTGGAAGCAGTCCAATTGTAGTAGGGAATGAGCATAGATACCATTTGGAGGAAGGTACTCAGTGGTACGTGGAGTCTTTGGAGAAGCATTGCCATTGTTGTTATTATACAACTAGAGGCCCGGTGCATGAAATTCGTGCACAGGGGAGGAGGGGTCCCTCAGCCCGGAGTGCAAGAATGCCAGCATCCCTCACCATGGCCTTCGGCCCCTCCCCTCCCTCCTGGGCTGGGGCTGGGGCTGGGGTGATGCCGCATCCCATCCCGGCCACTATGGGAGCTGCCATATTTGTTGCAGAGTGATAGTTAATTTACATATTACTCTTTTATTAGATAGGATGTTGTTATATAGAGAGATACTTAACAGTGAAAACTTCCATCTCACTGCCTTTCAGGGTCAACTTATGCTTCAGCCAAGGTCAGTCAGCTCCAGGCATTGATCATTGAAGCTCTTCTGTGACATAGGAGCCAGGGAGTGTCTTCCATCTTGATTCTACCCTGGGGACACACCAACCATTAATAAGTAAGGTTTCATCAACACAAGAACATTTGCTGCTTTGGCTGACATTGGTGATCACTCTCCACTTGAGGAGTGAAAATGTGTCTATGAAGAATGAAATATTTCAGTGAGATCCAAGTGTCCCATGTTTCCCCGCATAATTGTCTGAATTATGCTTTTGACAAAGAATTTTCTTGTTTTCAAGGGAATGTTGAAATGTAGCCTAATGAGCAAATATCTGTCCACAAACAGAGGGGAAAAAGCACTTGTATCAGTGTGAACTAATAAAATCTTGGTTTTACATAAGCTTTTTGGGTTATTTTTCTAAAGAACAGGGATTCTGTCAACTAAACTTGCTTCTGACATCCCCCGATACCTCATGTATCTAAAAGAGGTAAAAGCATTGATGAATGCTGTTAGCTCTAACATGCAATATGGACATAGACTATTATAATGTGTTGCTGGGCACTGAATCATGTTTTTGATCTCAACAATTTTATGTTGTCTCTGCCCACACCCATCAGTGATATCCTTTTAAAAACATGTACCTCTCATAAAACTGTTCCCAGATAAATATTTTTACAGAACATAAGCATTTGCCTAAAACTAGTATTCTGAGGCTTCAAACACACATTTCCACAAATATCTAAGATGAGTTATTGAAAAAGGGAGACAGAGTTTATCAATTCATATTTTAAACTGTATGCTCAAATACTTTTAATTTTATCTGATTTATTTTTAGCTCAGAGTGCTTGCTAACCTGTGGTACTGCCTAAGTATAAATCATAGCCTCAACAGACATGCTGCAGTGAGCCACTTATGAATGCATTGTAATGCCATGCAGACTGAGATGGAAATGTTCATTACCAAGATATGACAGCATTTATCAAGATGGGGCATGCAGGAAGCAGCTGATCAGTGATTCTCTCTCATCACTGCTGTTTCTATCTCTCTCTCCCTCTCCATTCCTCTCTGAAGTCAATAAAAAATATATTAAAAAAGAAATCCTATGTAATAAAAGCCTAACATGCTAAGTGTCCGGTCATCCAGTTGTCTGTTCAACCAATCAAAGCATAATATGCTAATGATATGCTAAGGCTGCTCAACCACTCACTATGACATGCACTGATCACCAGGGGGAAGAAGCTCCAACTGGTAGGTTACCTTGTTGCTGAGGTCTGGCCTATCAGGACTGAGCAAGATGGGGCCAGACACACCCTGGAGCCCTCCACAGTCCCTCCCAGGCTGGCCAACCTCCCGCGTCCCTTCCTGGCCCCGATTGTGCACCGGTGGGGTCCCTCGGCCTGGCCTGTGCCTTCTCGCAATCTAGGACCCCTCAGGATGACAGAGAGCTGGTTTTGGCTCAATCCTGCAGGCCAGGCCGAGGGACCCACTGGTGCATGAATTTGTGCACCAGGCCTCTAGTAGAAAATAAAAGTGTGTATTTCATCTTTAATTTACCCTTTACAATTTCAATTTTTATGGCATATTTTTATGTCTACAATATATTAATGCAGTTGTATATTTATATCATTTATAAATGAATTTGTATGTGTGAGGTAATAAATGTTTTACTTACAGGAGAGTGTAGGCAGAAGGAAGCAAAAAAAAAATATTACAGCAAGGTATCTATGATTAGCTTTGTTTTTTGGAAGATGACTTAGACAATACTTTGGAGTGGAAGGTGAGAGACCAGAGTCTGGAAGATCAGCCAGGTGACTACTATCCTGACTCAGAGGACAGGTGGTGAGGACCTGGTGATGGAGAGGAGAGCTCACCAAAGCACATGGTTTGGTTTTTAGTAGGGATGTGTGTGTGTGAGACAGAGAGAGAGACAGAGAGATTGTAGCTTGCCAGTCTGAATGGATGGTGGAACTGTTACTTGAGGGAGGACATGGGATACTGAACAAGATACAGAGTTCAGTTTAGGACATGTTAAGTCAGAGGTGCCCAAGGGATTCCGGGGAGATGACTGGTGGGTGTTTTAAATATAAATCTGAGGCTCAGGAGAGCTTGGAGATACAGATTTTACAGGAGCTTTAGTTTCTCGATCTGCAGCTCTTTCTATAACTGCTGGTCTTAAAAAATCCCTTCATTTAAAGAAAAATTAACACAGCAGCTTAACATTTATAATTATTCATAATGTAATAAAAGTGATTAAGAACATTGCATGATGGTATGACATCATCACCAAACAGACAAGCTTAGAATTTTAGTTGGACATTTGGGCTAGTTTACTATTTTGATCTTTTTCAAGTGTTATCTAGACTATGGTGTATTGTAAAATAGTCACTCTCTTGTACTGTCTTTCACACCTAAAACTTTGTTGTTCAAGCCAATCATTTATTTTCTTTTACTGCACTGTAGAAATTGTGACTGCTTTCTAATTCTGCTGTACATGTGTCCCTCCTTCAGGAATCATGAGCATTGTAAGACTAAGGTGTGTTAATTATTGGACAGAGCATGTTCTTGCTAAGTTATGAGGTGGCTTTCATAACATGCCATTCCCCTCAACTGCTTACCTTCCACTTACTAAGAATCTGCAGGTAATTTACCAGTTTAATTCTCAGATTTCATACAATTCTATTTCTAACCATTTATCTCATAAATAAGGTACTATTATTAAATACTGCTAAGTAGATATTTATTTAAATTTGCAGTTTCTCATATCATGGTTTTGTGGCATTGTATCATCTCAAGCACGTTTGCAGTATTCTTTATTATAGTGGAATTACTTTTAGTGCAGGGGTTTATCCCTCTCCATTAGAATGGAAGCCCCAGGAGGGCAAGACTTTTTGTGCATTTTGTTTACTGTTCTATCTCCAGTATGCAGAACTGTGTCTAGGATATGACAGATGATAAAATCTCTGAATGACTGAATGAATACATAAATAAAGGAACAGAATAGACTCATAAATGTCTTCATTTGAATCATCTTCCTTTCTATTTTTTTTTAAAATTTAAATCTTACCACATTGTTTTATTTCTCTGTAATTTAGCAACTTCATTTACTTTTAAAAACTCAGTTTAATATAAGTTTATTGAGATATAGTTAGCTTGATACAGACAAAAAGTTTTACTCTTTCAGCATCTAGGAGAAAAAGTCCTTTCAATCTTCTTTTAGCTTATAGATACACTAAAGGCCACAAACATACCTTATGTAAGTCTCCCAGAAATATTTAGGTAGGAAGGTCCAGTTTAGTCTTAAAAACAAAACCCAGCTTTCATAAGCAAAAGTTCACTCTAGAATAAGGCAAAAAAGTAAATAAATAAAAATACAAAATATATTAAAATAATTGGAGACCTAAAAATCAATTTCTTAAAGACCATGACTGTACTAGGGAAACACTAATCGGATGCTATACATGAAGGCATTGCTAAAATAACATCTAACCAAACGCACAAATTAATTCTTGCTGTTATTATCACCATTGCACAATACTATGTTCCCCCCACCTAGAACCTGAGCAGAGTAACTGGGGAAAATGCCACTTACCCAGCTCCGAGAAATCCAGCTGCTGGGAGTGTGCGTTGGCTCTGGGGACCTGGACCAGACCTTGCATAACGATAATGGATGGAGAGTGAAATCTGCAGTGGTGGGAAAGCCAGGCCGCAGCTCCCCAGACAATGGTGCTGGGGAGAAATGCTAACGTGGTTTGCCATGCTACCATGTGTTTCTTTGTTCTCCAAGAACATCCATTCTGCTCACCACTCATGAGCACACATTTCGTTTTATCTCACGGTTAGGAGTGTGAATGAGGGAAAACAGAATGCGGAACATCTCCTGCTGAGTCCACACAGGCGCTCAGGCCCTTTCACAACTCTTTCCCCTCCTTTTCTTCTCTTTGTTGTTGTTTTGTTGTGTGTTTGACTCTTATAAGGATTGGATAGGATTGAACACGTTTTGGACAAGTCACAAACATTTCCTGTTACCTGAAAACAAATGTGTGCTTGTAATAGTGATATGACCCAGGAGCAGGGACCAGGAGTCCACATGCTGCCCAAAGACCTCTAAGGTGGGGACAGATCTTTGTGGTTATCTCCAGAATAGTGACGTTTTTTGATGCCAGGTCAGACTCACCTTGGCTGAAGACTGAATTGGCAACATGCTGTTTATTCATAATGAGCTCTAGCCTGCACCAAATGGAACCAAGTGCAAAATACAAAAAAAAAAAAAAAAAAAAAAAAAAAAAAAAAAAAAATTATATGTTTAATGTACACAACTTGATGAGTTTAGAGGTGACACTTTTGATCCTGACTGGCAGAGACCTCAGATGCCAGAGGCAGAGCCGTGCTGGCTTCTAACACAAGAAGAGAGGGCTGTGTATTAAAGAATAAAATGAACTCATTTTTCAAAAAAGCCCAGAAATAGTCAAAGAGTTAAACAGATTATGGTTTGGTTATGTGATGGATTTTTTGGTAACTGCTGGAGAAAATTCACATTAAAATATTTTAGGCTATGGTAAAATGATCACTTTAACATATTAAAGGACAAAGACAAAATTCAAAAGTTTTGAAATCTTATATATCCAGGATGATGTCATTTGAGTAAAATGTTTCCATATGTTTCTATGCATAGAAAAGTAAATAAATAACAGAAAATATTTTTAAATGGTGGTATTCCTGAACTACAGTGAATTTCTGCTCTCTTTTGTATGTATCTATCTCTATATATCTAGAGAGAGGGAAAGGGAGAGGGAAAGAGAGGGAGGGAAGAAGGAAGGGAGGGAAAGAGGTAGAGAGAGAGTGAGAGAGAGAGATAGGTTGATTTTAAAGAATTGGCTCTCACTCTTTTAGGATGACTGTGGGGGCTGAAAAGTCTGAAATCCAGAAGGCTGGAGGCTGAAGAGTGGATGCTGCAGTGCCAAGGAGAATTCCTTCTTCTTTGGGAAACCTCAGTCATTTCTCTTAAAGGCTTCCACTCATTGGATGAGGCCCACCCACATTATGGCGGGCAATCTACTTTAATCACATCTCAAAAATACCCTTGCAGCAACATCTGCACTTGTGCTTAAACAACTGGGTATCACAGCTAGACAAGCGGACACATAAAATTACATCACAGCTTTCAAGCATTTCTCCGAAACCACAGCCTCCCAAAACCCTTTCTGGAACACAATCCAGGTCTGAGGCCTAGGCTATCTGTTACCGGACATAGAAGCAGAGAGCAAATGAGTCTTGCTTAACAGGCTTTCAAAAGAGCAATAAACACAGCTCAATCTGACCTAAGGAAAAAATAACATTTCTTTCAGTTACATTTCAGGGTATGAATATTTTTTTAAAAGGTAAAAACAAAACCCACACCACAATCAGTATTTGTGCTTTGACTGTTAGATGAAAACAGGCCAAGGGGTTAGTACATTCAAGGCACAAGAGAGCCCAACTATCCAACTGAAGAGGCTGATATTCAGATTAGAATAAACTGACTGACGTAAAAAAAACGGAACAATATATTTTAATTTTCACTCGACATCAAACTGTGGGGCCTACTTACGTCTTCAAATCAGCCGGTGTGGGTCCACAAGTTTGGAATGGGATGTCCCCCCCATACTCTTCTGCTTCGTATGCTCTGACATGTTGATGTGCATTTGCCTCAAGCTGGGACCCATTGGGCGGTACATGCCTGTGGTCGGCCACCACTGGCCGCCTCTGGGCCACGCGGGACAGGTGTCCCCTTCTCCCTCACAATGTAGGTATTCCCATGGCGGCATTGCCACACTGCTATACTTATCTGCTCATCGGCCTCTTAGGAGAGTGTGCGTGTACAAAGTATGAGGAAGAGTGAACCATGACAGTACATTGCTGCCTTTTCCTATTCTCTGCATATTTCAGTGCACCTGTCATTCAGAAGGTGGTCTTCCCAGATCAAAAAGTTTAAATCTGTGTGGCCCAGCACATTGTGGACTTAGGCTTTTTAATGTTGATTTAATAAACACGTGACTGCAGTTTCTACAATATCAGGCACGTATGTCAGACTTTCCTCTGTGTAAAGATTATATTAATTAAAGTCATAACC